CTTCTTGTGGCTGATTTCTAGTTTCATACCATTATGGTCAGAAAAGATGCATGGTATGATTTCAGTCTTTTCAAACTTGTTGAGATTTGTTTTTTGGCCTACCATGTGATCTATTCTGGAGAATGTTCCATATGCACTTGAAAGATACATGTATTTTGATGTTTTAGGATGGAATGTTTAGAATATATCTGTTAGATCCAGGTGGTCAGGTGTGTCATTCAAAAAGCCACTGACCGGACGCCTGGGTGACTCCGTCATTTAAGCATCTGACTCTTGATTTTGGCTCATGTCGTGAGATTGAGCCTGCTGTCAGGCTTCCCACTGGGTGTGGAGCCGTCTTAAGATTCTCTCTCTCCCTGGAACACCTGGGTGGCTCAGTCAGTTAAGCGTCTGACTCAGGTCATGATTGCGGGTTCCTGGGACCAAGCCCTGCATCAGGCTCTACGCTCATCAAGGGGTCTGCTTCTCCCTGTCCCTCAGCCCCTCCCCCATTCATTTGTGTTCTCTCTCAAATAAATAAGTAAAATCTTTAAAAAAAAAAAAAAACAAAACCCAAGATTCTTTCTCCCTCTGCCCCTCCCCTGCTCTAAAAAACAAGACAAAACAAAAGCCACTGCTTCCTTGTCGATTTTCTGTTTGGATGATCTGTCCATTGATGTAAGTGGGGTGTGAAAATTCCCTACTATTATTGTATTCCTATCAGTTACTTTATGTTTGTTATTAGCTGCTTTATGTATTTGGGTGTTGCCATGTTGGGTGCATAAATATTTACAATTGCTATATCTTCTTGTTCAGTCTTACCTTTATGATTTTGTAGTGTCCTTTACCTCTTGTTACAGTCTTTGTTTAAAGTCTATTTTGTCTGATTTAAATATTGCTACCTCAGGTTTCTTTTGACATCCATTTATTTGCATGACAAATGCTTCTTCATCTCTTCACTTTCAGTCTGCATGTGTTTTTCGGTCTGAAATGAGTCTCTTGTAAGCAGCATATAGAAGGGTCTTTTTTTTTTTTTTTTTTTAAATCCATTGTGTCTCCCTATGTCTTTTGATTGGGACATTTAGTCCATTTACAGTCAGAGTAATTATTGATAGGTATATACATACTGCCATTTTGTTACTTGTTTTATGGATGTTTTTGTAGTTCTCTGTTCCTTTCTTCTCCTGCTGTCTTCTGTCATGGTTTGCTGGCTTTCTCTAGTGATGTACTTGGATTCCTTTCTCTGTATTTGCATATCAATTACTGGTTTTTGATCTTTGGTAACCATTAGGTGTGTGTGTGTACACACACCCACACACACACGAAACCGTCTTACATATAGCCGTCTATATTAAATTGATGGTCACTTAAGTTTGAACCCGTTCTTTACTCCCATCATGCTTCCTCAACCCCCCCCCCAGGTTTTAGGCATATGGTGTCATACTTCATATCCTTTTATTTTGTGAACCACTTGACTGCTTTTTATAGATATACTTAATTTTACTGCTTTTGTGCTTCGTACTCTTCTTACTCCTGCTTATGGTCTTTCCTTTCCACTCAGAGTCCCCTTTAACATTTCTCATAGGCCTGGTGTGGTGTTGAATTCCTTTAACTGTTTGGGAAACTCTCCTTCTAGTCTGAATGATATCCCTGCTGGATAAAGAATTCTTGGCTGCTGGTGTTTTTTCTTTCAGTAGTTTGAATATATCCTCTCACTCCCTTCTAGCCTGTAAAGTTTCTGCTGAAAAATGAGCTTATGGTCTTACAGGGTTTCTCTTTTATGTTAATATTTTCTTTTGTCTTTCTTTAAAAATTCTCTTTCTCACTACTTTTTTTTTTTTTTAATTCCTATATGTCTTCATGTTGACCTCCTTGGGTAGATTTTGTTGGGGCATCTCTGTGCCTCCTAGATCTGGATTTCTGTTTCCTTCCCAGATTCGGGAAGTTTTCAGCTATTATTTCTTCAAATAAATTTTCCTCCCCCTTTTCTCTCTCTTCTGCGATCCGTATAATGTCATTGTTATTAAACTTGATGGTGCCACTGAGTTCTCTGTTTTCATTTTTTTTTTTTTTCACTTGTTCAGTTTAATTACTTTCCATTATTCTGTCTTCAAGTCGCTGATTCTTTCTTCTTCCTCTGGTCTACTATTAATCCCCTGTAGTATATTTTTAATTTCAGTTATTGTGTTCTTTATCTCTTATTGGTTCTTTTTTGTTTTCTGTGTTTGTTGAGGGTCTCACTGAGGTCCTCCACTCCTTTGTCAGGCCCAGTGAGTATTCTATGACCATCACTATAAATTTTCTATTGGGCATATTATTTCCATTTCATTTAGCTGTCTTGCTGCGATTTTGTCTTGATCTTTCGTTGGGACATATTCCTCGTCTCTTCATTTTGTCTCTGTTTCTATGCATTAGGAAAGTCAGCTACATCTCCTGCTCTTGAAAGTAGTGGTCTTGTGAAGAAGAGGTCCTATAGTGCCCTGTGGTGCAGTGTCCCCTGTTCAGAACCTGGTGCTTTAGGGGTATTGCCTATGTGTGTTGCGTGCACCCTGCTCTTGTGACTGAGCTACTTTTGCCTTCAATTCAGTCATCTGCAATGGCTCTGTTTGCCTGTTGTGGGCAGGGTTTGGTCCCTGTGTTGTTAGTGGGCCAGTCTGAGGCCACCTTGGGCTTGAGTTGAGTCAGACCACGCATTTGCCAGAGGTGAGATAGCACCAAACTGCTGGGCACTTTCCTGTGTTGTCCTCCCAAGAAGCTTTCATTGGTGGGGATAGCCTTCAGTCAGACCAGCTATCTGCCCCAGCCCAGTGTGGGAACCTCAGTGGGACTGGTATTTGTGGTTATCTTCCCCTCTCTCCAGGGCAGCAGTCTCTTTGGAGTGGTGCTTGTCCTTGTCCTGGCTGCTTGTACCTCGCCAGGCTTGTGGCACCACTTTGGATGGACTCCAGCCAAGGGCATATTGCAGGGCCAGAGCAACGGGAAAATGTGGGAACAGGGCCCATGGAGTGCCAGGAAACTCTGCACCAGTACCCTTGCAGGAGGGGACTGCAGCTGACCAGGCTTGGATGGAGGAGATGTTTCTGCAGGAGTACACCGGAGTACACCAGGAGTACACTGTTCACTATGTAACAAATGTTGGCTCTGCACTGGTTCCCGCAGGTGTCCATCTATCTCGGCTGGGAGGAGGGGAGGAAAATGGTGCCTGCTAGCTCTTTTGTTCTTAGAGCGGTCTTCCAAAGATCCCTGCCTCTCCAGGATACGCTCATTGGTAAATAAATCTCTTTTCCATATATGCCAGGTATTTTTAACACTGCTGCTTCTCTGCTCCATCTTAGTGGAGCTGTTTGTTTTACTATCTCTTTAATAAGGGCAGGCACTCCACCCTCCTGGCTCTCCCAGAGCTGAGCCCACTGAATTTTAAAGTTCAGGTGGTAATAAGCCCCCCATATTCTTGGACCCCTCTGGTTTTCAAAGCTGAATGTTACAGGGATTGGTCTTCCCTTCTTCCTGGGGTTCCTGGCTTGGGGATCTGCTCTGCTCCCTTCTCTGTGCTGCTGCATCCCTCCCTCCTGCGGACAATCCCAAGGATCCACTTGGCTCCTGACAATCTCTTTGTCCTTCCCACCCTCTGTGATGTGGCCTCTGTTCTACATTTAGCTATGGAGAGTCCGTTCTGCCAGTCTTTAAGTCGTTTTCTGGGTTATTTATATTGATGTGGTGTTACCTAGTTATCTAGTTGTATCCATGAGACGAGATGAGCTTAGGATCCTCCTCCTCTGGCATCTTCCCCAACTCAGACTTTTCTTTTTTTTAATTTATTCATTTGAGAGAGAGAGAATGAGTGGGGCGAGGGGCAGAGGGAGAAACAGGCTCCCCGCAGAGCAGGGAACCAAATATGGGATTCAATCCCAGGACCCTGGGATTATGACCTGCACTGAAGGCAGACGTTTCACTGATTGAGCCACCCAGGCACCCCTCAGACTCACTTTTTAAAAGTGTTTCTTTCGAGGGAAGGCCTCCTTTGTGAGCACCAGCTCTAGCAGAATTGTCTAATACTGATTTCAAATGGGGTCTGGAATTCAAACTTTAGGAGAGTCCCTCTGATGAAACTATGGATAAGCCTCTTTGTTAGTTTCCATGTTTTATGTTGACAAAATAATGAGAAGTGTAGATTTAAATTTTGTTGTATAGCTTGTACCTTTGATTTTTCAACCAACACTAGTTCATTAGTTGACTGAGATTTTAGTAGGTCTTTAAAAGTCGTTATGTATGAATCCTTAATCTTGTCTTTAAGATCTGTTACCAGAATTGTGTTTAGATCACACCTGAGCAACAACTCTGTTGTATATATAATAAGACGACCATATTTCTGGTCTGACATAACAGCAAGGTCAAGAATCCTGAGTTTGTAATTAACCATTTGAGTCTAGTAAATTAATTTATTTGGGTATAGTAAATTTCTGTAATATGTTAAATATGCCTTTTGAGTTTTATCCTGTAGGCATCTTGTTTTCAAGAAATCTTGATTGAGTCCCTGTTGTGTACAAGTACTAAGAGTGGTGGGGAAGAAAACAGAGTCCGTGCTGCTGTGGAACTTATGTTCTAAGGGGGCAGACATCAGGGATGCAGCCCTCTTGATACAGATTCATCGTGTCCTGGTCCTTCTTATTGTATCTCCATATATGACATGCATCTGCCTGAATTAATCACACACTCACTACTCTGTGACAGCACAGCAAGAGAGAGGCAGGGACATCCCCATTCTTTGGCAGCCTTTATGAGTAGCTCTAGAAGTGCTAGGTCTTACCTCTTGGTCTATAAGGAGGGGTTTACAAGGGCCTCAGCATCATGAATCCCTTCAGGGAGTCTCAAAATTTTTAGCTGAAGCTTGAATGGCCACATATCCACCTCAGTCCCACCTGTCCCTATCTGACTGCTTTCATGTTCTTTTCACTACCATCCCCACTGGTATTGTCATTTCAGCTACTGAATTACTATATTGTTCTACATTTTTCTTACAGCAGATCCCTTGCCTGGGCTTGAGGAGAAACCACTAAACATTGGTGCTTCAGAGGGGGTGTACCTCAAACAGCTACCTCACCCTACACCTCCGTTGCAGACCGACTGTACCAGGCAGAGCTCACCACAAGAAAGGGAAACAGAGGGCCCAGAGCTCAAAAGCGACTCCTCAGAATCTGGAGACAACTGTAAAGCAACAAAGAGCAAGAACATCTGGCCCCCGGAGAGCAACTATACCAGCCCAGCCACCCAAGGATGTATGCGAGACCTCTCCACTCTGGCAGATAGAGGGGCTCTACCCGAAAATGGAGTAATTATTGAAGCATCCCCTTGTGGATCAGAGGGGAAGGGCCTTGGTGGTAGTGGTTCAGAAAAGTCACTCTGCCCCAGAGGCAAAACACTACAGGAAACCATGCCGTGTACAAGACAGAACCCAGCTACACCTCCCAACGCGGACCCCAATCTGATGGGAGGCACTGTAAGCCAGTTTTCCCCCTTGTACATGCCTGGGCTGGAATACCCAAATTCAGCTACACATTACCACATCAGTCCAGGCCTGCAAGGTTTGGGCCCTGTGATGGGAAGTAAACCCTCAGTATCCCATCCTCAGCATTTCCCCCCTAGGGGCTTTCAGTCTAACAACCCTCATTCTGGAGTCTTTCCCCGGTATCGCCCCCACCAAGGAATGAGGTATTCCTACCAGTCACCACCTCAGCCTTCCTATCATCACTATCAGCGAACTCCTTATTATCCGTGTCCACAGGGCTTTTCTGACTGGCAGAGACATCTTCATCCCCCGGGAAGCCCAAGTGGGCTCCCACCTAATCCACCCCCCCCACCAAGGCCCCTCTTCTCAGATAAGAGCACCTTGGCTAATCTGCAAGGCTGTGAGACACTGAATGCTGCCTTAAGTTCCCCAACCCAAATGGATGCGGTGGCTGCTAAAGTCGTCTCAGCTGATGGACAGAATCCTGGTCCAGAGGAAGAAAAGCTGGATGAATCTATGGAGAGGTCAGAGAGTCCCAAAGAATTTTTAGACCTGGACAACCATAATGCAGCTACCAAGCGGCAGAGCTCATTGTCAGCCAGCGAGTATCTTTATGGAACTCCTCCTCCACCTCTGAGTTCAGGGATGGGATTTGGTTCATCTACTTTCCAGCCCCATGGTGTGATGCTACAGACAGGGCCTCCTTACACACCTCAGCGGCCAGCCAGTCATTTCCAGCCCAGGGCCTACTCTTCCCCTGTGGCTGCTCACCCACCTCACCATCCAGTGGCTGCCCAGCCCAACGGCCTCTCTCAGGAGGGCGCCATCTATCGCTGCCAAGAAGAGGGCCTGGGTCACTTTCAGGCTGTAATGATGGAACAAATTGGTACTGGAAGTGGAATAAGGGGACCTTTCCAGGAAATGTACAGACCATTAGGGTAAGATTACATTAGATGGTTTCCTTGGTTTTTGTTTCTTTTTTCTGAGAAAAGAATAGATGTTAGTTTTAGAAAGAAAAATGGCCTTAGAAATGAAGGTGATAACCTTTAGTGGTCTAGGTCCAATGATAATTGGAGACTTAATGGACATGTTTCAGCCTTAGTGTCCAATTTTATCTTCGGCATTTTCTTCCCTCGTGAAAGTGAATTAGCATTTAAATGACTGTTTAGTTAGATTTTGAGACTGGAAACTTGAGAGCCATAGGCAGAGGTGTCAGCATTGCTGCTAAATTCAGATACTCTGATCAAGGTAAAATAGGTCTCTCTCAAACCCTGGGTTGTGGGAGATCATATGTAATGTTCAGGTTTTATCCCTCACCTCTCATTTCTTGCCTTAACACTGAATAAAGAAACAGGTTCATCTAGAATTAAGTCAAATACAGTCCCCATGAGAATTCTTGCAAATAGTGGAGTTTTTAGGACTCAGGTGATCTGTGATCCAGGAGATTTTCAAATTAATAATACATAAAAGATGGTTAAATAAAGTTGCTTACATTAAAGTTATGAAGCCTTATCATAAAACCAGTACTATCCAGCTTAAAAACTAACGTGCCCCTCTTCAGTGCTGGCCTAAAACCTTACCTCCCCAAAACCTCTTCCCCATTTAACATTTTGACATATTTTTTTAGACCTCACTAAATATGTTTTGTATCTTTGTCTTTTCTTTTAAACCATTGGTAAGTAAGTTGCAGACTTCATGACTGCATGCATCTGCTAGGAATAACGACATTCTCCTGGAGCACAATCTCAAACCCATTATTCCACCCAGGGAAAATAACACAAATAGTGTTTAATATAGAGTCCTTATTTAATTTCTCCAGTTGTCCCCAAAATGTCTTTTATAGCTATGTTTCTTTGTTTTATCTTATTTTTTTTTTCCATCCAGGATCCATGTAAGGGTAACGTATTTACATTTGGTTGCTCTGTTTAGTGTCTTAATTTACATGTGTTCTATCATCGTTTTGTTTTGTTTTCCAAAGATTCGAGGCTAGTTCTCATGTATGATGTCCCAGATTTTGATTCTTCTCATTGTTCCCTCATGTTTGGAGTCCAGTTAAACACATGTCAAGAACACTACCTAGGGCGCCTGGGTGGCTCAGTTGGTTAAGCGACTGCCTTCGGCTCAGGTCATGATCCTGGAGTCCCGGGATCGAGTCCCACATCGGGCTCCCTGCTCAGCGGGGAGTCTGCTTCTCCCTCTGACCCTCTTCCCTCTCGTGCTGTCTGTCTCTCACTCTCTCTCTCTCTCAAATAAATAAATAAAATCTTTAAAAAAAAAAAAAACACTACCTAGACGGCGTCGTGTACTTACCGCATCACATCTGGAGCACAAAATGTCGCTTTGTCCCAATATTGATTCCAAGTTTGATTACCTAGATAATTAAGGCAATATCTGCATGAGATTTTCATGATTAAAATATTTCTTTCCCTTCTAATTAATATGTCTTCATTAATTCTTAACTTTTCTTTCCTGTGGCTGTAGGATGCAAATGCATCCAGTCCAGTCACAGTCCTCGTTCCCAAAGACCCCAGCACCAGCAGCATCCCGGGAAGAGCTGCCACCACATAAGCCCCCAACACTTCCTCTTGATCAGGTAAAAATTACCAAAACTAGGACTTTTGTCATTCTTCTAGGTGGCAGGAAATAGTTCATTGTAAGTTTATCGTGATTCTGAGAAAATCTTTTAAGGTGTCCTTTTAATAGAGGAACTTGAACTGGAAAGTGCGTCCTGTCCTACTGGCAACCAAGTAAAAAGGGCCACTCAGGCCCTGTGCTACCAGTGGATTCAGCAGTGGGAAAAATCAAGAGAAGACCGAAGTAGCTTCTGTATTGTTTCCATGTGTTTCTCTTCTTGTGGTAACCAGCTGTTTGGGGATTGTTCAAGACTCATGTTTCCAAACTGGCCACTATCATTTATTTTGATATGATAGCTTTGTATTTTTTTATCCTCTTCCACCTATTTCATCTGAGAGAGACAAGGCAGTCAGGTTTTTAAAAATAGCTCCCTTCAAGTGCTGCTTTTGTGCCAATTACTGTGTTCTGACTCCCTCCACGCACTGTCTCATTTCCTCTCTTCCTTGACCACTGTGAAGTAATTGTCATCAGCTACATCAGTATGGTTCCCTAATGCGCAGGAGTCCTACCGCACCTGAGTGATGAGGTTGGGGTTTGCATCCAGAGGTCCGAAGCTTGAGAGCCCACCCTCTGGAAGTAAACTGTGACAGCTGAAACAAAACCAAGCCATCTTCCCAGATGGAGAGGAACATGTACAGCTCTTTGGCTTACTGAATTACTTTAAACAACACAGTTGTTAATTTTGTTTAAATTGTCTTTATTTGCTTCTCTCAGAGCTAGTCCAAGGAGGAAATAAACCCCAAGAAAACGGAAAGCTGCACATGAAGACTGGAACATGGAAAATTTAGGGAAGCAATCCCTGCCCACCTCTGTTCCTGTTACCCTGCCACACCCCTTCACAGTGCATCCCATCGTGCCGTCCAAGAGCTGGAGCCGTTCCCGGAGCCCTAGAAGCATACTCCTTAGACTAACACCAGCTTGCAAAGGTCCTTGGTTGGGGATCTCTTGTATGGCTGATGGTCAAGAACAAATGAACTGAAATTAGTGATGGCTTTTCTAAGTCCTAAGACTCTTGTTCAGGGAAAATCATCTTAAACTTGGGGGAGAGGGTCACACTTAAGAATGGAGTGGTGCTTGTAAACTTTCATGAGCAGCTAAACTCAGGTATATATTTGGGGAAGGGACTACTTGTAGTATTAATGTGTTTTGGAGCTGGGTCCAGTTTACAGAATTTTCATGTTGCCTTTTAAAAATAATTTTTGTTGTTGGTGGTGAATGTATTGTACATAAGTGGGAAGGGTGGGTGGGGATGTGGAAGAAATGGAAGTCCTAACGATGGTGGGCAGGCAGCACTGCAGTGATCCTTATCTGTTTACAGTCATGTCACACTGAATACTTTTGGGAGCTGGAGAAGAGGGTAGGTAAAGTTTACTCTAGTAAATTGTCACTGTTTCCTCAGTGGTTAGACATCCTTTGTTCGTTAAGGGCCTTCTTTCCAATCAGCCCGAGAGGGTACCTTTGCTGCCCCGATTGTTGAGTTTCTCAGTTTGGAGGCAGAGCACTCGCACACAGCCTACCAGAAGCATCAGCCTAGAAGACAGGCTGCCCTCTCATCCAGTGGCCCAAAGCCTGGATTTCAGAGAGCAGTGCCCTTCGTGATTTGCCACCAGCCCTACTGGATAGTTGTAAACCAGTATCAGGAATTGGGATCACTAGAGTGTTTTGCTTATTAGAATTTAAAATGAATCGTCCTCTTCACAGACCTGCCGGGACTGTGATCTGATAGACATCACACAAAGCTTTCTGGCACGAATCACATTTTGTGGAAGTGACTACTCAGGTTTGTATATGTTAGTATCAATAAAGAAATTGCACAGTTCTGAATAGGAAAAATGTATTCTATAGATTTACAGTTTGAATTTAGGAATATCTCAGTATATATAGTTTTAATTCATTTTAAGTGAATCATAGTAAAATAAGTCATGGTGATTTAAAATAGCTTTCAGGAACGAGTTCTTGGAAATCATTTGTCATATCTGTGATAGGAAACAATTTTACAGTATTACTTTGTTACAGTTTTAGAAGTGAATTACACTGGATTGTCCTTTGTTTAGCATTCTGTATTTGATTTTAGCTGAGATGCCACCAAAGTTAGGACTCCTCTATGGTTTAAACTTTTGAACATCCCACAAAGAGGAAAAAAAAAACTAAGGAAAAATGTCCTGAAATAAACAGATTTTTGTAAAGAATAGCATGTTTTTAAGCATGCCTTTGGGATAGTAGAAAAGCCTCCATATAATATTAATCTGCTCTAGTTTCTTACAAATTCAGCCTTGTGAGGGGCCATTAGAATCTTTCCCTCCAATTCCAGCATCCTTGATGAAATGTGGAACTATCATGTTTAAAGTTCGCTATGCTATTTAGGAAAAGAAACAAATTGGAAATATCCATGTTATACAGATGGAACCCAAGACACCAGCTCCAGTGTAAAGAAAATTCATACAAATAAGGGAATGCTTATTGACCTGGCGTTGTGGCTTACGGCTCAGGCAGGATTGAGAGTTGTGTAGGAACACAGGAGCCTTTAAGATTCGTTGCACAAAAATACGAATTCTTTTTCTCTAATAGACTCCAGTTTTAAATTTGGTGTGCTTTTAAGTGAATGAGTTTTGAGGCTGTGTTCTCGTTTGGTCCTGATTCTGGTTAGAAAGCTGTCACTGGCATGATCTGGTTTGGAAGAGTGAAGATGTCCGCGCTGTCCCTGTAGGAAGAACAGATCTGATGATTCAGCTCTTGAGCTAGTGTAAGTTAACGTCGATGCATTACTCCTTCTGTTTTTGTGTCTGTGTAGAAGCAGGGAGGAAAGAAAGACCACCTGGCCTTGACAGCTGGCTCGAGTCTAGTTAGAGCTGGTCTAGACCCAGAGTGCTCTGCCACTGACAGCCTTTCTCTTCTCGCATGAAAGTCGGTGGGAGTGACAGGCCTTTGGCTGCTGCCTGACTCGGAGCACAGTGGCCACAGGGTCTGTTCCCCTGGCGCTGAGGTTGGAGGTATTGCTTTGTGCTGAATGGCCCTGGGGCGTGGGTAGGAGTGGCCCATAAGCAGTGGTTGGGCTGACCTGTGCCCTTTTCCTTCCACCCTGCGTGAGTAACCTTTTCTCCTCGCTCTCCCAACCCCGTACCCCCTGTTACCTGTTGCTAGAGAAAAGCTGTGAACAATATAGGAAGAAATCAATAAATGTAGAGAGGTGAGAAAATGTTAAGGAAGAACTGTATCAAGGACTGAACTACTGTATCATCACCTAACACTGGGAACAAGGGCAACAGCAGACTTCGGCAGCCTTGTTGCGTCCCATGTGGGAACTGAGCCGTGCATTACAGCCCTTGTCTGCTATCTCCTGAGCTTTTACTGGTCTTTGAAGCCCAGATCTGCTACAGGCAGTCAGGAGCTGCAAGAGAACACATGTGACCGTTGAGCTGCTTGACGGCTGATCGCTCTGCCCCCAAGCATGACCTTTTCTTCTCCTGTTTTTCTCCTCTGGCACTTCTCTTCCCACGTGTCTTAACATGCATTTGCCTTCTTGTCCATGAGGGGATGGTGGTGTGTGATATGTTAAAACTAGAAAGTAGTGTGTGAGGAGGTCCTCAGAATGATCTGCTGTCCGGCTAGGAGGACTCTCCCACAGTGTCCGCAGGCCGGCTCTCGGGAGTCCCCAGGTGGGGGTAGCTGGGCTCCACAGGGAATGAGGAAACTCTCACACCTGTTGGATTGAACAGTCCTGGCTAGCCTTTATTAGAGTTGTTAATAAGTTAGGATCTTTTTTCCCTAAGACCCAGGAGAAATAAATAACCCAGAAAGAAAAGTAAAGCTTTTTGGAAGGTTTCTGGTTTGGGTTTGTTGTTTGTTTTTTCCCTCAGAGTCTGTTCTTTTAAAAAGTAGCTGTTGGCGAAAATTTTTTATGGTAGATGCATATGAAGAGTAAGTAAGGGCGAAATGTGCAGATTCTTGTTCATATAACTTCTTCCATCCTACCTTCTAAAAATAAAATTAAAGCCACTCTGCCTCTCCTTAATCACGTTGGTTTGGGTTCAGGCAGTGCACATGAGCTTCTTCTTCACCATTCTTTTATTCTCAGTGAGCCCAAGTGAGACTGCTCTCAAGAGGCAAAACTCTGTCATGCTCGTCTTCATTTTTCTGTTGATGGAAAACGTGAAGACCTGTAGGGTGTGTGTGCACCTTAGTTCACTCAGACCCCAGTTTTCAGTGTCGATTCACTGTGGCCTAGTGCTCAGACCTTGAAAATGCTTCTCATGACCATTAGGTGTCATTACCCCGTGGCATTTGTCTGCTGTATTATTATTTATGGTAATTCCTACAGGAGTCAAAGAGGATGCTAAGTGCTGTCCAAAACACGCAAAATACCAGTGTTACACTCATCACAGATGTCAGAAACAAGCTCTCAATCCATACGACTTGGTTGAATTTTTCTTCCCTTTTTGAAATTCAAATTTATAAATAAAACACTGCTCTTAAGCCCCAATCTGAAATTTCACAGCAAGTCTTAACCCAGCAGTCCCAAGGCAAGGACAGTTACATAGTGTCAGAATGCTGACATGCTTTCAAAGAAATGAAAGGCTTAGAGTTTTCTAGCATTATTGCTACCTGCCGCCCCCCCCCCCCCCGCCCCCCCCCGCCCCCGGTCCCATGACTGTCAGTCCATTCACCCCTGCCAGATTCTGCATGGACCTCCAGTGAGGAAGTCAGCTCCATGTGTGTGTGAGTCAAGGACTGTTCCACCTTGGGGGTTTCTGGAATGCAGTGTCCCAGCTAATAGTTTTCTGTTCAACATTCCAGTGAGAATACTCGGAATTTTGGTTGAGCATGCAGAGGCTTTTATTCCTGGGCCCACATCACAGTCTAGGAACTAAGAATGTGATTGAGATTTGCTGCATGAGAAGAAACCCCTTTTCCTTTTTTTTGGTGGGTTGGACTTTCTCTGTAATATGGAGCCTTAGACACTGAGCCTTGCCCTGTTTTTCATTTAGGAAATTAGAACCTGAGTGAACATTTTTGCAGCCCATCTCTCATATGAAGCTGTGACACAAGCTTTGTCTCCAGGTTGGGTGTTTATCTGTCTCTGCTTTGTAGGCCTTTGCTAACCAGAAATTTAGAGGGGCTGTCCCCCCAGCTAGTCTTTGTCTCTGTGTACCAGGGGACTGACTGAACTTTTATGTAGAAATGCCTAATAACCAACTGATTGTCCTGCATGTGTTTTTGAAAAGGGTGGGATGGGGTTGGGAACAGGGGGTGTGGATATTGAGTAAGTTATTGAAATGCTGAACCCCGTTCAGTATCCTTCGTGTGACCCCTTTTCCCCAGCTGGGACTCGGGTACCTCCCTCTCCTGCCTTGCACACAGCTCCTGGGAGCCCAGGCCAGTCTCCACCAGCCTGCGGCACACAGTGTCAGGGATTCTTTGCTCCTGCTGCAAAAGCCGTGTGAACTTTCCTGGCCAGTACTGGAAAGGGGAATGCTATTTATTTTTATATTGTGTATATTTTGTCGTGGTCTGCTGATTCCCTGTTTCACTGAGAGCGACACTTACCTCAATAGTTAGTTCGATATTGTGTGTTGGATAATTTTTTAAAAGAACTTTTTAAAAAGCTTTTTGATCCTCAGAGGTCTGTAGATTTATTTCCATATGAACTGGTTATTTTGTATAAAGTACATTCTTAAAATAGCAAGGCTCTGATATGTGTGAGTTGTGTGTGTCCACGTGTCACTTTTATCATTGGGACAGAGGTTTGAACTAGGCCCCAGCCCATCTCACCTGGCTTCCTCAAGGTGAGTGGGTGTTGTAGGGGCAGGCAGCGGGAGCGTGCCCTGTGCAGGCGATGGTGGAGTGTGCTCTGTGGAGAACCTCAGAACAGTGCTAAAACTGACTGGCCATTCCACACAGTGTCAGGGATAAAATACTCCCCAGCTGGCCCACTTCCAGTACCACTGACACACCCCTAGCCCTTGGTATACACCTTTAACACACTTGT